TCAGATCATCAAACAAATTTAAATATTAGTCAAAGATAACACTAGTAAACACATCATGCAGTTTTTAAATAAAGGTTTTTATTATTAAGGGAAAACAAAATCCAAAACTATATAGCCCTGTGTGAACAAGTGTTTGCCCCCTAAACCTAATAACTGGTTGGGCCACCCTTAGCAGCAACAACTGCAATCAAGCGTTTTATTCAGAAGTGGACTTGCTGGTGTGCTTTGGATCATTGTCCTGCTGCAGAACCCAAGTTCGCTTCAGCTTGAGGTCACAAACGGATGGCCGGACATTCTCCTTCAGGATATTTTGGTACACAGCAGAATTCATGGTTCCACTTATCACAGCATGTCTTCCAGGGCCTGAAGCAGCAAAACAGCCCCAGACCATCCCACTACCACCACCATATTTTACTGTTGGTATGATGTTCTTTTTCTGAAATGCGGTGTTACTTTTACACCACACATAATGGGACACACGCCTTCCAAAAAGTTCAACTTTTGTCTCGTCTGTCCACAGAGTATTATCCCAAAAGTCTTGGGGATCATCAAGCTGTTTTCTGGCAAAACTGAGACGAGCCTTTATGTTCTTTTTGCTCAGCAGTGGTTTTCGTCTTGGAACTCTGCCATGCAAACCATTTTTGCCCAGTCTCTTTCTTATGGTGGGGTCATGAACACTCACCTTAACTGAGGCAAGTGAGGCCTGCAGTTCTTTGGATGTTGTTGTGGGGTCTTTTGTGACCTCTTGGATGAGTTGTCGCTGCGCTCTTGGGGTAATTTTGGTCGGCTGGCCACTCCTGGGAAGGTTCTCCACTGTTCCATGTTTTCGCCATTTGTGGATAATGGCTCTCACTGTGGTTCGCTGCAGTCCCAAAGCTTTAGAAATGGCTTTATAACCTTTTTCAGACTGATAGAGCTCAATTATTCTCTTGCTCATTTGTTTTTGAATTTCTTTGGAACCTGGCATGATATCTAGCTTTTGGGGATCTTTTGGTCTACTTAGGCAGGTCCTATTTAAGTGATTTCTTGATTGCGAACAGGTGTGGCAGTAATCAAGCCTGGGTGTGGCTAGAGAAATTGAACTCAGGTGCAATAAACCAGAGTTAAGTTATGTTTTGACAGGGGGGTGAACACTTGTTCACACAGGGCTATGTAGTTTTGGATTTTGTTTTTTCTTAATAATAAAAACCTTCATTTAAAAACTGCCTGGTGTGTTTACTTGTGTTATCTTTGACTAATATTTAAATTGGTTTGATGATCTGAAACATTAAAGTGTGACAAACATGCAAAAAGATAAGAAATCAGTAAGGGGGCAAACACTTTTTCACACCACTGTACTGCTGGGTACCTTGTGAACTTCTCACCAGGGATCAATAAAATCGTATGATTATGCTGTATTTTGGGTTATTCGAAAAAAGTAACCAGTAAGTAAAGTTATGAAATACATGTAATGAAGTCAGAGTATGAAGTGGCAGAAAGTGAAAATGAAATCAAGAACAGATACCTCAAAATTATATTTAGGTACAGTAATTGAGTAAATGTACCTAGTTATTTTCCAGTTTTTGCAGAATTAGAGCTACAGATCATTTGGAGCTGATGGCAACATTTTATTATTTGTATGTTTCAAACTGTCTGGATTTATGATCACTCTGGATAGGTTGTATGTGTTCTTTGAAGTTAATATGAGGTAACTGTTTTTGAGTGTGGGCCAGTTTAACTGAAGTCCTAAATATTGTCTCCCAGTGGAAAATTTGGGATTAATCAGTTAATGTTCAGAGGTCACTTGACCTGCATTCCCTCCCTCAGTTTGTTTTGGTGTCTTTCTGCTTGTCTGTACTTCTGTGAAATGTTGATGGCTATCAAAAGGGCACATAGAGCAGTAAAGCAGTTTTGGATTTCTGAGTTTGTTGTACAGTATATTTAACTGTGACTATGTCATGGCCCCATAGTGCTTCTACCATCATGATGATTATTTTTCCTGTTCACACTACAAGTGTGTCCTAATAATACAGATTCGGGATAGGTGAAGTTTGCAGGTTTTAGATTTAGATTCCACAAGAGTTTGATACTGAACTGGTGGGATTAAAACCATTCTTCCAAAGGATATTCCCTCATTTGGTGTTTTGATGGCAGGTACTCCACTGGTTTGAGATCTAGTGATTATGAAGGCCATAGTATTTGATTCACATCATTTTCATACTCATTAAACTCTCCATTGAGCCCTTTGTGGCCTTTATGGTGGCATGTGTGTTCATTATGTTTGTCCTCTCACTTATTTAGTTTTCTTTTGTCCTTAATTTGTCACCTGTCTGTATGTGGTTTATTGAACAGTGCATTACATGTTTTGCTTCAGACTGTCTTTGCAGTGCTGTGGTTGTAGAGCTGAGACTATTTCCTGTTTTTGTCACCAAATCTGGTATTTTGTGATTGATGTGCACAAACTTGTACATGGCAACCATTCAAGTTCCTTATGAATCTGGTCTTATTACATTCGACTGCTATGTTGTCTAATGGCTTATGTGATTATTTATGCTGTTTCTGTGTCTGTCATTTGAGGTTGTGCTGTCATCTTTAAAATACAGCAACACAATTAAGACTTTGTTTGTTTGTTTGTGAATTATTTATTGAGTACCTCAACGATATAATTGCACCTTTTGTGCTGTCTCTCCTTTTAACCCTGTTACTTTCTTAATTATGTCCATGAGTGGATATGAAATTAGATGTTATCACATCCTGATAATAGTATGTGTACAGCGTGCAGAGACACTGGCTAAATGTGTTTTCTCATCTTAATTCTAATGTCAGCTAACTTGTGATTCCAAGATAAAACATTTTAACTAGTACGCATAATTTGGAATTTCTGTCTAATGTCAGATGCTTTCTTTTCTTCATTCTTGTGCATAGCTTCATGGAATGGAAGTATTTTCCTTGTACCCTGGAGGAATTTGTGCACTAATGCATCTGTATCTGAAAGGCAAAAATAGATTCATATTGGGAAAAGCATCAACATGTCAGACTGCATCTAACAAGCCCAGCCATTGCTCCTCTCATGGGGGTGTTAGAGACGATTCTCCCTTAAGGAAAAGAGTTTTACATAATGTGGTTTCTCAGACAGCACAGTCTGAATATGTGAAACCCTGGCTTCAGTTATGCATCTGTTGTTTCTATGTAACTGCAAGGATGATGTTTGACATCTTATGCATGACCAAGATTTAGCATATGGTAATTGTGTAGTATACTTTAGAAGGAAAAGTATACTTAAGATACACAAAAAGGAAAGTATCTTTAGAGCTTAACAGAAAAGTTCAGTATTTTTGGAAACATGCTAATTTGCTTTTTCACCAAAGTTAGATGATATTGAGAACATTATGGTTATCTTAAAATAAACACTGCAGACAGATAAATTATTTTTCTGCCTCTGCCTAATGGAACCAATCACTCACCCAAACCTCTAGGGTTTACAAGTTAGCATATTATATCTAATTCATTTGTCCTGTACAAAAACTTGTGTAACAACAGCAGTACTGGAACAAGAAAGGAAAAGGCCTTTTTCAACTTTAACAGGCTGCCAGCTCAAGCCTCACATTTATTGTGCATGTAAGAGAAACTGAGTCCCCTCCTCTAACATATGGCAAGACAGCAAATAGGAGCATTTCCCAAAATGTCAAACTATTCCCTAAAGGTTCAGCCACACTGAAAGGCTTAAATGTGTGATTGTCACTGCCGTGAAAATCATGAACATTTGAATCCAGCCTGCCCAAGTGATGACATCCAGTCCAACACATGTCTACCACATACAAGGAAGAAATGTGAACTCTCCATCTGTCACATGAACAGCAACAATTAAGGCTACAGGCGCATCATGGCCCTTCACCTTTCTTGTTCAAGTTCAGTCCAGTCTGACTTTTCAGTAGGAATCCTTTGTGATTTGATACTTTGGAAAATTGGCACGGAGGCAAAGTAGTGTGTTAACAAATCAGTCTGGTTATAGTTGCACCCAGATATTGAATTTAGTCAGAGCAGCAGCTAGTGGTCTGACCTGTAGGGTTCAGTTGCGTAAGTACTTCATCAGCTGTCAACACCACTGGAACATTTTTACTAAGTGTGAAAGTCATCATGAATTTTTTGGCTGTGCCTGACTGTGAGATGCCCTGTGTCACCATTTTATGGGGTAATGCCTGTTCAGTTACATAATGTTGCTCAATAAGAAACTGCACTGCATCGTTCTCACCCTGACTCCTCTCCACATGCTATTAAAAACACTGTGTAGTAGCAGACTGTAAATGCACACACAATTTGATGTGCTTTAGAGCTGCAAAAAACAATAATTTTATGGTCAGATAATTTATTAACACCCAGCTCAGTTCTTCAGTACCAAAAGTGATGTTCATATTGCTTGTGTTGACTAAAAAACTGTATAAAATTCAGACATTCACTATCATATAAGACAGCAGAAAGTTATCAGTGGTAGCAACTGTATCCTTCTGCTACCACTACAGGACAAAAGTCCTGTGTCTACAGCAGTGATCTGCTGTGTTGGAACAGAACATCATTATGCACTGTCACTTCATTTCTGCAGGACTGCCAAATGCTGTTTATAGCTTAGCCGGGGTCAAGTTTGACAGCTCTAATAACCCTGGATGCACTCATCATCTAATCCTTAAAAGGCTTTATGACCAAAGCAAACAGGGAGGCCTCTGTATGGCAATTGATGTATTGTGTACAATACACTGATACAGTAAAACAGTGATTTGATTGGTTTTGTTGTCTGTTCATTCAGGATTTGAATTGGCAAAGGATATCAAACAAAAATCATTACTGCCACATGCTAAATTAAAATGCACTGTCTTATATTTCATACTCTGCAAAAGCAAGTCAGACCACTTAGCGAAACAGTTGTACTTGCCATCCCTGCTCGTCTCAGCTGTGATCTGTCTCCACAGAGCATTATATTATGCTTTCTGGTGTATATAAGCAGTAAATCTTATTGTATATTCCAGATGCCCCCTCCGCAGAGCAGCAGGAGCTGTTCACCCAGAAACTCCAGCAGTGCTGCATGCTCTTTGACTTTCTGGACTCAGTGGCGGACCTAAAGAGCAAGGAGATCAAGAGGGCCACACTTGGTGAACTCGTGGACTACATTTCCACCAACAGGGGGGTGCTGGTGGAGTCTTGTTACCCAGAGATCACTAATATGGTGAGCATACGCACATAACACTTAAACATTTCTGGTGTTACTCTAAAATTCTTTGGTCTGTTTAGAAAATCAGATCTCAAGGACAAAGCATCTACATCAGCATTTAACATTAGTGTTATGTGTTATTATTATTAAACACTGTGTCCTATGCACTTGTGCAGGATTTAAATTTGGAGGCTGATCTTGTGTGTTGTGTTCTGTCAGCAGCATGTGAGGAACATGTTACCATCTTCATACAAAACCTCTTACCATACTTTCCCATGTAAGCACAAAATCCACAGTACTAACACAAGTAGAGCCTGATATTGTTGGTCTAAAAGAAATGTCTGCCTCTATCTCTTCCTTTTCTCCTCTGACCACTGCATTGATTATGAATGCATTCATTATTCCTCCTTTTCTCCAGAACATTCCATTTTGAGAGTAGATTGTGCCATTTCTTTGTTTTGTGTTGTCTGCTTGTCGTCGCTTCTGTTGAAATCCTGTATGATGAAGAAACATCTGCTATAGTTATTTTTCTGTTCATGACCACAAATTAGTTTTCATGTGTGTGTGTTCCACTGGGCAAAATATGTTTTGATCTGAAGCATTTAACATTCTACTTTTGCACATTTTCAGCCCTGGACTGTCCACAGCTGCAACGTAGTGATGATTGTTTCATCACGTCCTAATAAAGACAGTCAGTATTGATGCCATTGCAATTTAATAACTTTTTGGTTTAGATAATTTGGAGATTTTTTTGAAGAAGAATCATCATCAGAAAAACCCAAGAAAGTAAAGCTAATCTCACCATAGATACTGTAAATTAACAGGCCATGTGCTGCATAATGAGTTATTTAATATGTTACAGCTTGGTTACAAACTTATAATCTTTAGTGACCTCTGGGTCAGCAGCAGGTTTGCTGGTTTATTACCTGGAGAAGTGACAATGAAGGACTTCAGCTTGTCCACAGCCATTGGCAGTGGACTTTAATTTATAATCTCATTTATCAGTGTATAGTAGAAGGGCACGAGCTTAAAAGAAAGCCAAGTGTACCACAGACAGGCTCCTGACTGAGGTTAGACAAACAGCAGCAGCACTTTCAGAGGTCTGGCTTGATAATGGCTCTCCCAGATGCTCCGTGCTTGGCAGCGCATGACAGTGGAGAGGAGTGTGTTTTAAGTGCAGCCCATTATTCTGCTACAGTGATGACTGCTTTGATCCCAGAGATTGTTAGGAGTACAGACAGCTATGTTTCTCATCTGTGTAAAAGGAGGCGACTCTAATTAGTGGTTTTATTATACAAAATCATTTCTTTCAAACTGTTTTGATTGAATTTGTCCTTTAAAGTCAAAAGATTTAGCTTAGAATAGCATCCACGAGTTATAATTCCCCTTTTATTCACTTTAATTGTTATTTTTTTCTTCCTACACTCCAAAGCTTGCACGTTCTCCCCGTCTCACCCCCTTTCTCTCCCTGCCCCTTTTCCATCTTCATCATCCTGTGCATTGCTAGGTGTTGGTTGCTACTTCTAACCCCTCACACAGAGCTACAGCCTCCCCTGTCATCAGCCAACCTGCAATGGTTTTATTTAAAGCATGTTTGTCACGTAGGAACAGCCCCATTACAATCCTCCTACATTACTTACACATATATATCACTGCTTCCATTTTGCCCTTTGTGAAAATTTCTCCCGTCTCGTGTTTGCCATCCTCCCACAATATTTTCTTTTGTCCAACTGTAGTTATTTTTCAATATTGTGAGGTGACTGGGGGAGATTAAAGAAGCGTGATTTGTGTAGTGAATTATGTAAGCCATTATGCCATGTAGACATAGCGTAATGGAGATTTGCTGCTTTATTGGCATCTAGATACTGACAAGTCCTGCTAGTGACTGAGGTAACAGGCATAATTAAGCTGACTGTAATAACTTTAATAAATATTTGTGGGCATGTGGTAAAAGCTTGAATGCACAACTTTATTGTATAGTGTATATTTAGATCCTGAATGCAGCCAGAAACTTCAAAGTGTTATTTATGTGTGTAAAAGTGTGAATTACTCGGTGTAAAAATCATGCAGGCAGTCAACAGGTTCTTTTGCTGTTTGCCTAAGGGATGCTTGATGTAAGCGAGTTTGAACATTGTACAATTATTATGGCCAGATGGTGTTTTCATCAGCTCAGAAACAGCTGCACTACAGTGTCAGACTTCTCTAAAATAACAGGAAGGCCACAAGCAGGTAAGTAACGCGCAAGTAACAGGCAAGTACAACCGTGGGGAGCCGAAGGTCATGTCTGAATGCACAGCTCATTCAGCCTTGAAGGGCAAAGACTACAGCGGCACAAGACGGCGCAGAGAACCATTCAGCTAATAACAAGAGCAGACTACAGTGGCCATGTGAAAATCAAAACTGGATTATCTGAATGGGATTCAGCATTGTTGCTTACCAATTTTACCCCTTTTGAATATTAAAGGATTTGGTTTGTGCAAGAGTCATAGCAACAATATGAAAATCAACAGGAAATCCATAATACTACTGAGAAGGCATTAAAGGAACATAATTTTAAATCAGTTTTCTGAACAGTTCCTGCCACTTTAGAAGCAAAACAGATGCTCAGCAGGTTTTCCTAATGAAGTGGCCACTGAGTGTATGTAAGCTTTGTTCATTATGGTATAATTAGGAAACTCGTTTAAGGATTTTCACACCGCTAACACAAGCTTGATGTAGCACAGCGTGGTCATTATTTCTGATGCAGCTGTGAGAGCTATCACTATGCTAATTGTGCACTAGTTTTTTGTGACCAAAGTAAAACAAAACATGTGCCCAAAGAGATTCTGGGATTGACAAGAGAGGAACACTATAATATGTTTACTGTGTGGAGAAGAGTTGTGGACAAGTCCAATACCTGAGGGGTGTATGAAAAGTTGAACTGGACAGAAAAGCAGAAAATAGGCCTTTCAGCTGCACTAAATGAAATATATTTTCTTAGACTTTTCTTTTAATTATAAAGAATAGTATGCCTACAAATGTATTTAAAATATCCTAGTTAGCTGCTTTGTATGATTTTCTGCTATTCTTCATTTTATACACACTATTCACTCAGATTCATTTCATACATATTTGCTCTGAAACCACTGCCACACTGTTTCAGTGATGAATATTAAAAAGAATGACTGACTACAAGCTTGTTGATCTGAACTCCCATCTACACGCTAACATTGTGCATTGCGCTTGAATGATCAGTTCATTCTCTGTTTTGTTAGTTAAGTGTCTGTGCTTTCTTTTAGCCGTTTCCATCTATGGCAGTCCTGCTAGCGAATTCAGGAAAGAGATTTCCTTCCAGAGTTTCTGGGGGTTTTCAGCATGCCAGTTTGTAAGCAAGTGTCAAGTTGAAAATTCCTTTGTCGCCTTCCTCTCCCATTAGTGTCATTCAAATTTTCCAGCTGCCAATAGGTAATGTGATGTTATCGTTATCACTTCAGCATGAGTGTGTGCACCCAATCACATAATGCCTGATTTCCCAGCTCCCACTGCTGTGTGTGTGTGTGTGTGTGTGTGTGTGTGTGTGTGTGTGTGTGTGTGTGTGTGTGTGTGTGTGTCACTCTCAAATTTACCCTTGCTAAAAATAACAGGTTGGGAAAGAGATGGTGTCGACCTGTCTACAATGATTGTCTTCAGTACAGGATTTTAATAAGGGACTGCAGCAGATGCAAAATCTGTGATAGGTTTTTTTCCAGTGCCTTTCTGTTTTGGTGACACAATGAAACATCCTCGGTGAAATTAAACGTGGACAGAAATAGTGCAGATAAAGATGTTTTCAAGCTGCCAGTCATGGTCATGGTCATGTACGTGTGTTTACATTGGGTTTCTCTTAAGTTGTACCAGACGTTTTTGGGAATTTAGAACAGTGAATTAATTTTGTGTCTAGGTTATGTATGAGTTGAGATAAATGGCAGTTTACACTTGGCATCATTTTCTCAAATACATTTTGGCTAATTGTGCCAACATTTATTTAAACTCTGAGAAACAGTAACAGCTCTCTCACACAAACACCATACAGTTCTGAAATTGGATTATAGCATCTCTTTGGAACACTTTTTCTGCAAGTGGTTATGCAAGATGTTAACTCTTTGTTTTCATATTTAGTAAGACTCTTCCTTTCTCCCTCAGATTACCACCAACATCTTCCGGACTCTTCCACCAAGTGAAAACCCTGATTTTGACCCAGAGGAGGATGAACCCAGTCTAGAAGCTTCATGGCCTCACATGCAAGTAAGAATCTGATACTTCTGCATGTCTGTCCTTGCCCCTTAAATTGCATTATTGTATATTAGAGTACTTAGAAAATGCACATTTCTATTTATTTTCTTTTTATTTTCCAGCTGGTCTATGAGTTTCTCCTGCGCTTTCTTGAAAATCCAGACTTTCAGCCCAGCATTGCGAAGCGCTACATTGATCAGAAATTTGTTTTGCAGGTAAGTTTCTTTTTCTTTTATGAAAACATTTATCAAGATTCAGTTGTTTCAGTATAAATATCATGAAAATGTATAGTGGATGTGGAAAGTTAACAGGCTTTATTGAACCTTAGTTTAATCATATTTTTCTTTTGGGTCTACAAATAATGATGTACAACTTCAAAGCCCCAAGATCACATATCCGACACCCTAGGCAACCGGCCAGCACACACAAACACACACTCACAAAACACAAAAAGTGATATCTTAAGACATCAGGCGTCTTGTTTCATTCAGAATTATAACAATAATTGTGATGTGTTTTGGGAGTTCACCCACCCACAGTCATTACTGCACTGTAGTTCTTCTGCATGTGTTCTGGTTCAG